GCAATACATAGATAAACACATGTAGGTCTGTACACACATACATCAATACACTGATATCCACATGTACAACTGTAGACACATGTAGCAATACATTGATAAACACATGTAGGTCTGTACACACATACATCAATACACTGATATCCACATGTACAACTGTAGACACATGTAGCAATACATTGATAAACACATGCACGTCTGTACACACTTACATGAATACATTGATATCCACATGTACAACTGTAGACACGTGCAGCAGTACATTGATAAACACATGTACGTCTGTACACACTCATAGCAATGCGTTGATACACACACATACAGCTGTAGACACATGCAACAGGACAATGCAAATCTAGGTAAAACTCGATGTCACTTCATAATAGTATGACTAAGTCAGAGTCAATATCAGCATGAAATCCTCTCTCACTGATTTTGACATAATGGGGGGAGTGATTATTGGCATAATATTACAAAATCCAGGAAATGGGTATAAAAGCATTTATATTCGTTTTGCTAATGTTGTATTAATTTTGGTATGTATTGCTGCAGCGTTCAACACAGAATGTTCAGCTTGAGCCTGCAACTGTAGGTGTTTTAACGTATGCTAAAGGTACCCTTATTTTACAGAGCTGCCAGGTGATTACAGATAAGTGGTTAATGTAGCATGATGTCCGTGTCAAATACCACCGGAGGGTAACCTATATAAACACAGCTGTGGCAGGACCATCGCCTACACGACAACTACATCCTCCCAGATATAGGTCAACATCAACAACTACAGTGTCATGAATAACTGGCATTTTCAAATTCGGACAGTTTATTTGAGAGAACGTTTGATTGTGGTGACAAGGGTAGTAATAGAAATTTAGATCAGTGTCTGTATTTTGATGCTCACATACATCATACCATTTATAATACCTGACGCTCGATAACAATTTACCGTCATAAAACGGCAGCACACGCTCTTTGGTAGGCAGCTACTGAAAATAGCTGGTATAAAAGCTAGGACTCTTCTCTCAAAAGACTATCGCTTAATCTTTAGTATCAGGTCGTACCGACACGAACAACGAACAAGCATTAATTGTACTTATACATTGTACGGAAACATTCAGTTGTTTTCAAAGAGTATTTCTTAACATCTTTAAATATAGCTTACATTCTAGATGTAGAAACGTCACATCCAACGCTTTATGCTGAAATTTCAAAGATAACATGTCATTTGCAGATATAAATGGACTGTACTTACCTGCCTGTATTTCTACCTGATGCTTATGGCGTCTACCTGTAATCAAAACAAGAGAGAGGACAGGTGAATATTAACGCATAACCATCGCCCGAGCCTTCGATTGGCCAAACATTGCGAAATCAATCTTCCGCTGGAGAAGCTCACCTGGTCTCACCTAATCAATACCAGCAAGAGAAGTAGCTTGATTGATCTCAGTAACCCCTCCCCATGCGTCCATTACCTGTCAGGTGATAGTGGTGGCATCCATTATCGACAGCAGCGTTGTTGATGATGCCTAAAGATACAGTGTTTGATCTCATCTAATGGAACAGAGCGCCATAGTTTATGGTAGTGTTGCCTCCTCTGTGATTGTCAGCTGATCTTCCAGGGACGCCCACTTAAGGAAGCCTGTGTTATCATCCACATTGCTGAAGCGTAATTAATGTGCAGAGGATCACTGTTGACATTGCACCGTCTGACGAATATTAAACAAATATGAGCGCCTTTACAGTGAGGCTTCTGCTGCAACTCCTGTTACGTTCTCAGGGTAGATTGTGATGATGTTGGGTAGTTGGTCTCAAGAGGCGGTTTACCGTTATTGGTTCCCTTGTAGAATCATGGTGGTTTGTATTCCATTACAACGGTACCACAGCTGGATATATACTGGTTGTGTCACAGCTCATAGACAATACATGCACGGGATACTCACACACTGGTCATAACATACAGGTATATAATTAAGACTATTCAAAAGAAGTGAAGGATTGCCCGATTTCCTCATAATTATGTACATTATCTTGTCGTGGCATATCAACAATACAACAGCAATATAACAGAATTGGATGGTCCTTAACTTCTTTTGAACTGTATATTATATAGGTTAGTTCATACAGACACTCGAATTGCATTTGATGTCAAACATTATATTTCCTACATGACAGGATGTTGGTCCATATGATCTTCATAAAATACTTCGCAACAAGTTTGAGAAGTAAATACATTCCAGAGCGGGGACATATTTCCCTTGTCCCTCGCCATGAAGAAAACAGGCAGCACGTGACTTTCTGTGCTGGAGACTAAAGCGCTAATATTTGTGACATTTTACATGTCATGAGAACTGCTATCTTAGTTCCCATATAGGGTGAAATGGGATAAGTTCGTGTCCAAGATTATTGCGCATAACTTGCGACTTGCAATCATATGCGTGAGCGTGTCCATGGTCCTATGTCCGCTTGCACTACTCCTGTCTAATGTCCAATGTTTTTTTTGTGCTAGCCAGCTGAGTTATATGCCGTAGCTGACCACGAACCCACCAGTCAGTCACATTATACGGAGACTAAGCACACCAGTCCAAATGCCAGGCAGTGTAACAGCATGTGGCATCTTTTGGTCTTTTGCGGCACATAAGTCTTATACTACACATTCTTGGCTTCTTCTTCGGGAAATATTGACTGTTGGCTAGGGGTATCACCACACGCATACGATAAATAACACCGCCTGTTTAACGTTTGCCACATTTTTAACACAAACGGATATGTACACTACATTAAGCTACTCGCTGATGTAACGAAGATTACAAAAGTTTGGCAAAATAACTGTTGCCATGACTACGGGCTATTGTATTTACGTTGTACCTATATACAGTACATACAAATATAGATATTATGTTTACATGAGAGTATACACGGATAGGTAACTTGGTTACAGTGAGAGTGGAGTCTTTGTTAATTTTGCGATGGAAACTATGCGATATGTCACAGAGTCTTTGTGATTTTAGCATCAGCAAGGGAAGGGTAAGGTACGGTAAATGGCCTGTATGCCTACAAAATGAATATTACAAGAGAGTTGAACTCACATTTACTTACATTAGGTTTCCATCAGTAACAAGTAAATATATGTTGTACTGATAATCGTGTAAAACCATGAATTGTTACGAAATTGATACTTTTTGATAAATATTCGGTATATTGTGACAAATGACCCCATAAAAAAGTGTAAAAATAATAATAAATGTTCCGATTAGGGTTTATCCCCTTTCATCATAAAGATGTGCTGTTTTTACAGCGAAAAAACAACCCCGTACATATCAATTTCCATGAATTGGTCTAAAGTCACAGAAACTTTGTGATTACGACATTGATGTAACGGAAAATTCCTTCATCGTCCCAGATAATTCCCAATCACAACATGGAGTTGATGGGGTATGATTCTCCGATATGTACAAACAGCATAAGGAGCGGAGTGTATTTCATTGGCATTCTCAACTTCCCGTGGAATATACAACCGAAGCCAGAGGAGTTTGCGTTCACATTGCCATATTCACCTTCCCGTTCGCTCCTGGGCGGCGATCAAACCGGACTAAACTTTGTGGGTATTGAACGTGTAGTAGTGTATTTGACACACAGAGCAGCTCACTCAACTTCTTTTGAAATACAGTATATGCACACGAGTTGATAATTGTTTAAAACTCCATTTCCTGACACGTTTCCTGACATCGCAGACACCATTGTGGCGTAAACAGCATGTAGACATGATTCGATCTATTCTTATATTGGCCATACATATCTACAGAAGCCAAGAATGGGCATGAGGCAACACAAACACAGTTCCGTGTCCTCATCAAAATCATCTGTAACCGTCTTCACTCTGTTTCAACACAAGCACATGTAATGTGTTGTTAAATGGTATTGACCGACGCAAAATGGTTCCAAAATCTATTATCGACCTCCTATAAGTGTATTGTAAAGGCCACGTTACTTACATAATGTTGGAATAAACGCAATCATCATATTTACCAATCTATATTGCACATCCGTTGTATTGACAATGTTTAAAGGCCGCAAGGAATCTCTGCATCATAAACGCTTCATGTGTTTATTGAGATGCATGAACTACGTGCGAGAAGATGGAATTGTTCCCTGGTGGTTGCCACATCACGCTGAAGGTCAGGGTCCATGAAGGTCAGGGTTCATGATACCGCTGGGATACTGATGCGGATTCAAACCGGATGTCCACTATCTCTGATACTCGAGAGTGCTCTTGTTGACAAGTTATCACTTGCACAACCACATTGTTTGAACTGTTAACTATACCAATAAAGGCAAGATTCGTTGATGAAGTGTATGTTTATTATCTAAACAGTCGTTGTTAATGATACATGCAACATATTGATCAGGGAAACATGTCAGCTTGCCTCTCATAGGGGACTATTGACTGAAAAGAAGTTTGTTAATTTCACCGTATATGAAATGACCTCGAAAACGATTGAGCCAGTAGTTTTTAAGACTGCTTCAGGTTTAACAACAAGTAGCTGATGTTCAATGAGGCGGGCTTACAATTTCAGATATCAATAAAATATGATAGAAATCAATGCAAGGATACATTTCTTACGCGATTCACATTATAGTTACGTTGTAGCTGCTCCAGGCAAGAATGTCGGACATTGCATACATATTCTGTACATGATATTGACAGGTATCTCGTACATATTGTACACATATTGTACACAGAAACTTCACAGAACACATCAAATTTTGCACACGAAAATAAGAACATGTGATATATATACAAGGTCTTCAGTACACATTGCACGTTAATGTTGTGAACATAGATATGGATGATGGTAGTTGTAATTACTGGCTGCACCTTTACTTAACTCATGTATGCGATAACATTGGTATAGGTTCAGTGTGGGTATGTATAGCTCTTCAAACACACGCTTGTGTCCAGCAAGGCGGGATGATACAACTGGACGTGTATATGGTATTTTCTATGTTCATCCAGCATCCCGACATGGCATCACAGTGTGAGGTAATCTAGTACTGGTCTGTCTCCTAGAACCTCTCGTTAGTGGTGTCTTCTCTGGAACTGCCGTCTTCTGTTTCCCGTGGTCTTGCTGGCCCACGCGACTTGCAAACACACCTTGCCCCTGCCCATTACTCTGAAGTACACACACTCCATCCCTAGACAGAGGAGGGCGCAGGTGGTGGAGCCGGCGAACACCAAGAATGGGCCACTTGTACTCCAGTTCCAGACTCTGGACCGTACTGGTCTGGCTGGACGTCGGGCACATGGAACTAGGTGACCACCACCTGCGTCGCCACTTTCCGATCAGACCCGCCTCCTGGAGCTGGATCAGACTGCGCACAAAAGCTTTGAGTCAAATTAAGGATTAAACGTTAGGGTTGTGTCGTTGTTCAAGCAACAGGTTATTAGAATACACTCTGACAGATGGGATTTATATTATTCAATATACATGTTTAAGTTCGAGTGAGTGGGGATCATTATGAGAACAAATGCACATACGACCGTTGATATTAAGAACCAGTAGGCCTTTCGGCTCAGTGGTCAACTTGTCTAACCTATAAGAGTAAGTTCCTGTTACATTCCCTAATACAGGATTATCTCAAACCTGCCCAGTTACCAACAGTGACCAACTTGACTGTTGTGTAAAAAGAAAGTTAACCACACCACTACTGCAAACTTAAGTTCCAAAAATAATCTATGGCACCTGCAGCAAATAACCATTTCTGGTTCTAATGGGTCGGGTGGTCAGGATCGGGGTTCGGTTGATAACGTGAGCATCCCGACGGCGTAGTTAGTTGCTCATAACATCAGTCTCTTGAGTGGTTGGACGATCATATAGATGGGGGGTGTTAAGCAGCAAACACACACTGGCTAAACATTGATTTAGGCTGCTTAATGCTTTTGTTTTGGATAATTCGAATATACATGGTGAAATATATACGCGTGAAACCTAAGCCCATCAACAGAATCAGGGTTATTTATAACGTTCTGCTGAAATACCTTACGTAAATGTGCATAACCTTGGCTTTCTATATTTATAATGGCTTATGACTTTCACTTACTTAAAGGACAAGATCTCAAGCAATGGGGATGATTCTGGCACAATGAAACCCAGACCCCCTACATTGAATGGAGTCTCGCCAGACATGAGATTCTCGCAGTCTGTCATACGCAGAAACTCGATCTGTGATTGGTCAGTCAGCAGTGCATAATCACCAGTCAGAACCAAGTGGAGAGCCTCGTCATTGTTCTTCACAGGTGGCGCTGTTTTCACCATTGCCCACAACTTCCGGAAAGTCTCTGTTTCTCCTTTCTGGAACAATTAAAAACACACATATAATATCAATAGTCCTATATACGGTTGTAGGCTCTCATATTCAGAGTTCCTTTGGGTCACCTTTATTTGAAATATGTGCAGCTGTCAAATCCTGTGGACAGGAGATACCATCCTTTTCATGAGTACAAATATGTTGTCGTACCCTCACCATAGTTATTAAGTAGTGGCATATCTTATATTTTAAGTATGCAAGGCAATCTGAAAATAACACTAAAACCCACAAAATCCCAGAAGGCCTGGCTATGTTAGAATTATAGCGATTATTTCCAAGAGAAAACAAGGTGAGTGATGTGCCCCGATTAGCTTGTAGCACATGAATTATGTCACTGTGCGGGAGTGTGTTGTAACGAATTAAGCAGCTCTCGAACTGACTCGAAAGTCATGATGTATGAATCATCAGACGTCTCGACGCACATTCGATTTGGAGCACTTATTAACACCACTATGTGTGATGCGTGTACCGTGAGCGTTATTTATACACAACATATGACGAAATCAATACTGCGTGGTTGTTGCACACTGTTACAACAGGAAAATATTACCTGCTACCACCTATGCTGAACACTTGATTGCCTCTATTGATATATTGCCGTCATGGAACATCAACACAGGGCAACAGTCGGTTTCGATCTAGACATATCGATGTGTACAGCAATGGCTATCACCACATATTACCACTTGACTCTGAAGTATTAAATTGCTGTTAGCTTATACGGTATGTTCGCGTTTCTCTGTTGAGGTAATTTACAAACACGATTCAATATCAATAATTTATTGCAGCTTGCATTTCTCTAGTAAATCCGTGAAGTTCAATATCCACGGGTTTGGGTGAAGTGTAGTGATACAGGATTTACTCGCTCGGCCTACGGTCAGGGCTCTATTTCCAACACACATACAACCTGTGACACACGTCCTTGGATCCCCACCGACATATACAGAAAACATAACACGGCGGAAGTCAATATTTGCTCATTCATTGCAAATTATCTAAATAAATTAGTGTTCGAACTGTCTTCACCAACCCGCGCTTATCGTAAGAAACTATTAACGATAACGGGTGATCAGGCTCGTTGCATGTCATCGTCTCCCAGTAACAGAGTTCGATGTTCATGATGTCAAACAATTGGACTGTCCAGTCCAGACGCAATTATGAATAGACCCCGTCACATAGTTGTAATATTGATGAGAGCGGCCTTGAACAACGAGCAAACAAAGCTGACCCTTACAAAAGGGAATGGGATAACCTTTAAAGCACCTAGACAACTATCGACAACAAAACATCGTGAGCCAGTAACTATGTATTATCATAAAGACGAAACTTAAACCAAGAAAGTAAGCAAGGGTGACCTCACTCCATTGCTGTGACAATGTACGAGACGTTATACCCCACTTCCGGTCTCGTTGCCATGGTTTCCTTTGTTAAAAGTGTAGGTGTATTGACCGGTACACCTGTCAAAAAGTGTAGGTGTATCAATGATACACCTACACTTTTTCACACGGGTATACCGAAGCAATAAAGACACAACAAACGGCGAAATATAATTTTATTTCAATGGACTCACATTGAGATTTCGATTGTTTCAAAATCTTCCTTATCATCCAGGTCGAAATGTGACGCTAACGAACTGTCAATTTGAGAAAGAAAATCCTCTGTCCACTATTCAGCATCCATGGCGAACGAACGTGTGATCTTCCAAATGTTTTCTATGCCACATGCGAGTCAGAGAACGCATGCGCATTGGTCTGCCCATACAAATGTCAATTATCAGTAATATTGCGCATATTTGGGGCTACTTGAAGTCATTCTCGCGCCCGAACTGGTGTTTAAAATAATGTGAAATCGAGCAAGCCCGTGCATGCACGTGCAATCGACTGCTTATAGTCTCTTTCCAGTGAAAACGTACCGATGAATATCACTTTAAAAAAGTAAATCAAATAAATTGAAACTAGGATTGCAAATCCCCATAATTTTACCTTGCCTATTGAACATTTAAATCTCAGAATTATTTTCAGCTTAGGATAAAAGTTGTTTAACAAACGATCATAGTTTCAAGGCACTGTTATTGGTTTGCATTACAATGGGGTATGCGCATTAAATGAAACACCCAGAACATGCAGGTTTGGTAGAAGTTAACGCTTGTTACGTACCGCACGGGCATTTGTTTCACTGTTCCAACTACTGCGCTTACCCCCCTAAAATTGTAATACAAACCAATAATATTGATTTGAAACTATGATCATTTGTTAAACAAATTTTATTCTAAGTTGAATATAGTTCTGAGATGTTCATTTGGCAAGGTCAAATTATGAGATTCGCAATCTTAATTTCACTTATTTGAGTACTTTTTTGTTTAAAGTGAAATTGATCGGTAGGTTTCACTGCAAACAGACTATAGACGCGGGACATTTGAGGGTCTTAACCAGTGGGCTAAAAATAAATGAAACAGATGGAAAAGAAATAAATTTTTTGGTCATAATTAGAACATAAAGTGTTATAATAAACTCGTAACTCGACCAGAAGTGAGGTATAAGTCAGATGTACCCACACTTCCTCGGTGTGTCGCCGAATACCCCTACTGTTTGAGTCGTGTGGTCTCCTCGGCTAACGCCTCGGAGGCCACACGACTCAAACAGTAGGGTATTGAGCGGCACACCTCGGAAAGTGTGGGTATATCTAATACGTACCTGGAGTTCTTGGTAAAGGTTGGAGCCTTGTTTAACCAGGGCTTTATGACAGTCTGCTCAGCGAGGTCGTCGACGTTCCTGATGGGTTTGCCTACATGAAGTTGACGGTGAGGAAGGCGACGAGATTGGCCTTGTAGGAGGCCACCATAAGTATAGTGAACACCCACCAAAACCCCAGTATGAATCGGCCGGATATGTTAGGCGGAGATATCTCACAACCTGAAGAAGGTAAGAGGGGGACAGATGAGGGGAAATAAGTATTCTCCTTGTTAAAATAATTACCAAGAACTGCAACATCGACACTTTTAATCGCTTTATAATGAAAGCTTCTGGGATCTACACGAAATAATGTTACTGTGATTTGTGACATTGGACTTTGAAATTGTCTATTCGTTTGTTTCCGGACTTTGCTTCTTCT